ACGTTAACCGTTAACGTTACGTTACGTTACGTTACGTTACGTTACGTTACGTTACGTTAGTAGTAGTAGTAGTAGAGAGAGAGAGAGAGAGAGAGAGAGAGAGAGAGAGAGGTACTCTGAGTTTTTCTTCCAAGTTCTTTTTCTTCCCTTAGTTGGTATGTACCCCAACTATGTACCCCACGTTTTTCTTCAAAGTTCTTTTTCTTCCCTTAGTTGGTATGTACCCCACGTTTTTCTTTGAAGTTCTTTTTCTTCCCTTAGTTGGTATGTGAGAGAGAAATAGAGAGAGACGGAGAGAGAGACAGAGAGAGCACTGAGTACCTCAAATGTCAGAGTTCATTTCGCAGCCCCTTTCAGCCAGCTGTTTGATCTGAACCACTTGTAGCCTGAGTGAGCTGCGGAGAATGTGCAGCAATCATAAATTGTGGTGGTGCCGTAACTGGAGGAGCTACACCTGAAATCTCTAATAGTAAGGGACTGTTCATTCTCATTTCAAAATCTCACTTCAAACTTCAAAGAATGAAGCCAAGTTAGAAATAAAAAAGAATCACCCTATTTTCATTTCTGTTTTTTTTTTAATTATTGATAAGAAATTACTGGTATAAAGGGAACCCAAAAGGAAACTAGAACTACAAAAAGGAAAAGAACGCTATGCCTGAAGGGAATGGTGCCTGGATGGATGGCAAAGGTGTAGCTGTGGCTCCATTGACATTCGGCCCACTAAATTGCATTATATGATGACTAGGCACTGCATACCCTTGAAGTGCAGCATAACCATGACCGCTTGGTAGAGGCTGACCCACCTGAGCATATGGGTAAACGGCTGTATTAAGGGTTCCTGGTGCACTATACATCTGAAGGTACTGATGCCCTACGTAGGGGGTGTACATATTCTGCTGCATAAAAGGGACAATCGAGACATCAGCCATAAAGAAAATCTTAAGCAACAAGTTGAATTGGTACAATTGAAAATAGATTTTATATGTTACAAAACCAAAAGGACAGAATACCAAAGCCCAGTGGATTAATGTATGGATACCCATAATCCTTGGCTGTAATTACCATCTGATTAGTTGGTAAACATTGTTAAAGAGACTGTGGGACCCACTAGAACAGGACATGGTGCAGCAGTGGGTATCTCACTATTCATCGACGTCATTCATTTCTTTGGACATTGATGAGTCCATGAGTCATTGTTCATGGCCCATCAGAGAACAATATACTTTATCCAAACTAAAAACCTGCGAGACATAATTATATAAATATTCCTAAACACCATGCTTGATATAGATCACCAACCTGTGCATAAACATATTCTGGTCCATATGTTGCATAGCTGCAAAAAGAAAAAAAGTGATCATTAGTTTCTTAGAGAAAACTCTATACAAGTCTTACTTTGAAGTTTGAAGACAAGTAAAAATCACCCATAAGGCTTCTAAATGAGAAATATACCTAAAGAAACAAAGGAAATACTGACCCATATGGAGGATATGCGAATCCCTGCTGGTAACTGTAGGGAACCGGATGGTAATATGTCGGACTTCCAACATATGGCCCCCGACCTCCTTGGATTGCTCCAACATAAGGGCCCCCTGAACGTATCCGTCCTACAAAAGTAAAAACACCAGAGAGGTCAAATAGTAACTCTAAATTATCTAGATGTATTACAGAACAACTTTCCTAATATGATATCCTCATCTAAGAAAACAATCGACTTCTGAACATATGATGAGGAAGAAACCATAAAAAAAATGCATAGAAAAGCATTCGGCTTTACTTTTTAAAATATACCTGTTTTCATATTAATCTGTATTAGAGACAACAGCTAAGCAGATTTTTCTTCAATGAACTCTAATGAAAGGGACCCCTGAGAGCTGTATTGGTGAGGTTGTTAATTATATTGTTAAGATCTTAAGCTATTGTTCATGGTTGTTCTAGTAACAAGACACCACGATCTTGAAACTGAAGCACTTCCCCATGTTAAAAGGATAGTGATTCTAAAGAGAACTATTGGAAGTCTTCACAGCATTTTCCCAAGTAAGACTAAAATTATGGTTTCTATATCATTCACATGCTACATATTGCACAAACATACACATCAGGGGCAGCCGCTGTCTGTTCTACAAATGGACAATGGAGATGAACATTTTAGGGTGAATGTCCATCAATGAGGAACTACTTAGCTCCACTCTCCACTATGAGAATAGACATGTCGATGTCCGGTGAGAATTATATATTGTTCCAAAGCCTCAGTACCATGGACAAAGAAGCTAGAAAGAATCTTGATGGAGAATAAGCAGAGGGCAGGCAATAAGATGCAGAAGGTCTACTGAGGCGAAGTGAGAGGTTTTGCGAATCTAAGAAGCATGCTTATCAAAATAAGGCACTCAGAGGGAAGTGGCAATTGAGGAATTTAACAGCCAAGGGACTCTAAAGGAAGGTAATATGCATGAGTACAAATGTGGTGAGAGTGCGTGGAGGGGATTGGAAAGACATTAACAGGTTGACCCGGAGTTTAGTAGGGCACTTTGGTTGAGGTGTTAGGTTTTCAAATGACTTCCATTGTGACAATGGTTGCTCAAGGTATCCTTGCTGGAGAAGAAAAGCTTATTTGTTTGTCGCCACTGCATGCAACTTGACAGAAATATCATATTATCTGTACTCTGGAATTTTTTTCAAAATACACCATCATAACATTGTAGATATTTTCTTTAACTAAACAAAATTTCATTCAACAAAAGGCAGTTATAAATTAAAGGGAAAATTTCGTATAGACCCCTAATTCTTCATATTATTTCATGGTAGACCCTCCTTCCGTTTTTCTTTCAAGCAGCATTAGGAAACCCTTAAAGATTTCACCATACCCTCTCATCTCTTATCTCCCTCTTTTATTGCCTTTTGACTATAAAAATTAGCCCTCAACAAATCTTTTTATACTATT